TTCCGGTAGTGAGAGCAATTTTCTATTTATTTCATATCCTCCATGGGAAGCACTCATACCCGATCCATTCATAGAAAGTGGAAAGTGACCATTTGAAGGCTCTGGGTTGAACTGAGGTTTGCAATTCCAGTTCCAGGGAGAAAACAAACATTTTAAGAATTCTAAATGTTGTGTGGGCTTTTTTGTTGGCCTCTGGTACCTACCCACATTCACCATTTATAATTTTGTGTGAGATATTCCCAATTACATTCGCCTTCACAGGACAGTTACATTCCAGTTGAAAGAATAGCATGTTTAATAATGGCAGCTTAACCGCAAATGAAAAGGCAGAGGAGGGTGACACAGGGAATAATTTGTTGTGTTTGTGTTTTTAAAAGACATTCATTCATTTAACAAATAGATCTTTTATCCAATGAGATTTGCTTCATTACAAAGTGTTTACAGTGAGCCAGGCGTGCAGACTTAAATACACACTTTTCGAATATAGTTTAGTCATCTTCCCAAAAGCCTTAGGTAGCAGATGCTATCGTATTCATTCTGTTGGTGAAGATACCGAAGCCCTGAGAAAGGAATTTGTGTAAATTCACACAGCAAGAATGTGGTCGAGCCAGGAGTCGAACTCACATGGTTGGGCCCCAGAGGCTCACAGGGACATCTAAGCCAACCTGCCTTCCCTGCCGGTTTACACAGGTGATAGACACAGGTGTGTTATGCTCTAGCTAGTCAGCTTCTGTGAGCGGCCAGTGGTACCCTTCCTCCTCCACCATCTCAGTTGAATTAAGCTGCGGCAGTTACGTGTGTTCGTTCGGTAGGACACACGTGTTTTCTTGTGTGCGAATGAACTTTGCAGGGCTGATATGTGATTTCTGTTTCCACTTCTCTTTCCCCTCCCCATTGTTCAAGGCTGACATCAGCCAACCTTTTCAGGAACAAAGGTCTCCTCTGGTTCCCTCGAGGCGAGGGAGATTTTGCAGGAACTGCATTTTTTTTTTTTTTGTGCAGTCCTAAGCACATTGGGTCCCCTCCAGGTTTCTCTGTTTTCAGTTCTTCCTGTCCATCCCCTTAGGGCTCACTGCTTCCTCTAGAGCCCCACTCTGCACGCAGCGCCCAGCCTTCTCCCTTCTCTCCGACCCTCTGCCTTTGCTGAAGCCCACAGCCAGGTGCTTCGGGACTAGCAGTGGGGCCGGTGAGGGGAACACTCCAGAGGGAAGGCAGAGGATTTGGCAGTGGGGCAAAGAAACAATCATCTCATTTCTACATAAATCTCCCCCCAACCACACACACAGAGACAAGGGGGTCTGCCCTCTTGAGAGTACTTACATCAAGCGCTTTCCAGCCTGTTACCAACATCACCTTCCGTTTTCATTTACAGGGGTTTCTGGAAGGCTTCCTCCAGACCAGGCCTTGCACCAGACACAGGGGACTCCGCAATGAATGGCATAGCAAGGCCTTTACAGTCTGCTGGGGGAGCAGACGATAACTCAATGAAGGAAAAAAAAACTATACAATTATAACTCATGGTCACTGTTAAGACAAAAAGAGGAAAAGCAAGCGTAGGGGGGTGATGCTTACTATAGACAGATGGTTTAAAAGAGCCACTTTTAGAAAATGAGAGAAGAATGAGAAGAAGCCTGTTTGGGAAAGACTGGGGAAAAACGAGTGGGGGCAAGTGAAGAGAGCTAAAAGGGTACGACTTCTAAGACAGGCATTTCAAGAAATGGAAAGGCCCATGTACCTTGCCTGGACTTGCGAAAGGGAGATGAGCGGGAGCTGCGCAGGGACCTTACAGGCCATGGACAGGGCTCTGGTAGCTACTGGAGGGTTGCGAGCCAAGCAGTGCCATAATCAGACGTGCACTTCGAATGGCCCCTTGCGTGCTGCATGGAGAATGGGTGTAGAAGATCAGGCGAGGAGAGAGTGCTTGGCAGCACAGTGAGTCATCCAGGGGAACTATGACAGTGGCATGGCATCATGCAGAAGCCCTCTGGTGAGGCAGCGCTCTGGCCCCAAGCCGCACAGCATAGCCCCCTTTTGCAAAAGCAGAAGAGCCTCTTTCGAGGGACATCCACTCTCTCCTACTTTGAAATGAATATCTTGGTGCATTTTTTATTAACGAAAAAGAACGAGGTTCTCCGCATCCTGCCCACTCCAAAAGCTTGGGACTTGGTGAGCCTAAGGCTATCCTCATGTGCCCCATGGCCTCCTTTTTTACCTAGTGCATTTTCATTCTCTCCACTGTTCTCAAGAGTTTAAATGTGGAGTGAGGGGAGAAGGAAGAGCAGAATTGTGCAGATGGCTTTACTGAAGAGCTTTGCTGAGAAAAGATGCAGGGGACAAAGGCTGTCACTAGAGGGAAATGTGGAGACAAAAGAGAGTCTTCTAAGGATGTGAGAATAAGGGCATGCATGTTTGCTGTTGGGAGATATTTGATGAGAAGAGGTGATGATGCAGAGAAAGGGAAGAGACAAGGGTATGAGCATGTGTCACTAGGAAGCAGGAAGGGATGGAAGTTGGCCTCGGGTAGGGGTTGAGGCAGTTCATCCACTGTCGCCAAGCCAGGGCTGAGAAGAGGAACACAGTCACAGACAGTGGTTAAGTTTGATGGTAGATGATATGATTCTTGGCTGATTGCACCTGTCTTCTAAGTGAAGTATAGGGGAAGGTCATCGGCTGGGAGGTTGGAAGTTTGAGGAGATGAAGTGTGAAAGAGTAATTTAGAGAGACGGACTCAAAGTACAGTACCAGAAAAGTGGCCATCAAGTTTAAACCGGTCAGCACCAGAGAGGGATGTCCCCCAACAACATTCAGCTGTTCAAGTGCAGCTGAAAAGTAGGCTTGTCCTGGGGTTCAGGGAGGCATGGGGATTTAGACAAGTTAGGGCACCAGAGGGAGAGAAGGGCAAAGAAACTAAGGGTGTCAGCAAGGGAGCAGTTATGGGACTGGACCACAGCATCTCACTGGGTAAACAGGGAAACAAGGGTATGGAGCATGTGTGCGGGAACACATGAATGTAGGGGTGTGTGTGTGTGTGTGTGTGTGTGTGTGCGCGCGCGCGCGCACGCGCGCACATGCATGTGTACATATGCAGGTGTGCTGGGGGTGATGGATAGTGAAAAAGGGGTTGGGTCAATGAATTGGTGGCCTCTCGGCACTAAAGAATTGTTAAACTGGCAACATCAGTGTTAATCAGCTGTAAGATGGGAAGTGGTGATGAAAAAACAGTGCTTGAAACTGAAGATTTGGAGGTGCTTCATTTATTGGTTATAACAAGGTGATGATAAGGTCGTGGCCTTGGGAGTGAGTGGCTGAGGTGGGCTACAGGGGAAGATAGTTGGATTGTGATGGTCAGGGCACTGAGAGGCCAGGTGGGGAATAGGAATCCAAGTGGAGAGTGAAATTGCCAAAAGTACCAACAGACATAGAGATGGGGAGAAAGACAGGAAGC